GGAGGTGCTGGAAAATAACAGGAAGAGATAGAAAGGCCAAAATGGAACCATGACAATAACGAGTAAATTTCTCAATAAAATCAATCAATCAATCAGTTTAGCTAGCATATAGTGTTCTGTCTTAGCTGACAGTTTGGGGATGGTTGCAACACTTCTTCCGTCTGATAAATTTAGAAGATTATCTTGAAACTCCTCCGTCTGGCGAGGGGGAGGAGTCAAAGTGAGCTGCATCAACATGGCATGTTTCTGATTGGACAAAAAAAAGACTTGATCCTGCTTGAAAACAACTTTATTAGCCAACCAATGGGTTTATCAGGGTCCTGGATAGAACTGGTTTCCTTGGGATCCCTTGTTCATGTGTTTCTTTGGGCCGTTGATAAATGACGGTTCTTGTAAGGAATCAGATTACTGCTGTCCAGCTTAGACCTGCTGGATGGAAAGATAAGCAGATCTATTCAGAACCAGGAACTTTGTCTCTAATTAGTTCAAAAGTTAATTCTGTCTTATGCTGAACCTTCTCTCTTATGAGGTCTTTACTGCCAAGAAGACGGCATGAATACTGATTTAATAACCCCTTTATTGTTGGATTTTTACCACACTAATTGGCAGAAACAGTCCAAAATTTTTTGATTAAAACGAGGCTGATGAGATAAAGCTTGAAATATTTCCTTTGAACAGTCTTAGCGACGTCACTGATCCTGGAACAGCTGACTGGGATCTTTATTTGTTTGATTTTTTTGGTTGTCTTTGGACGAGTCCTCAGAGTCAGGCAAGTCTGACACCAAGACACGGATAAACATCCATCTGGTTTCAGTTAAAGGAGGAAAACCCCGTCGTAAAAAACAACATTTTCTCCGCCGAGGATGAAATCATCTCAGCTGCATTCTACACTTACAGAAACAACAAAACACAGAAATCACAGACAGGGAGATGTTTTTAAGCGGTTGAATGGAGCAAATCCAGCGTGTAGGTTTGCTATCACTAAAGAATACAGCTGGAATAATATAGACTGGCATATAAACACTGGAAAAAATAAAAATCTAGATAGGTTATTTTTTCTCAAAAAAAGTGCCTTTCTTCTTGGATTAAGGAGGTAAAACAGACCTTTTGCCAATGGAATAAGAAAATTTGCATTTAAAATAAGAAAACACAATTGTATTGTTGTATTTCAAGTGCATTTTATCTAAATATCTTATTTTAGGAGTAAAAATACTCATTTAATTGGCAGATAATCTTATTTACCCACTCAAATTAAGGCTAAATACATTTAATTTAAGGCATTATTACTTATTTCTAGATTGTTTTTCCAGTAAAAGCGTCTACGCCTATAGTAAAATGTCAGGTTGTGTGATTGTTTCTTTGTTTCAATTCAAAATGCCAGAATTAGCACTAAGTTCGAAGCTTTATATAGCTTGAAAAAAACTTCCTGGATGGGAAGCGAAACGTCTTCAAAGTTGGAAACAGAATCCAAAAAAAAGAAATCTAAAGAAGTCATTTTTTATCTTAAAATAAGTGTATTTGTTCTTGGATTGAGGAAGTAAAAGAGACATTGTGCAAATGGAACAAGATAATTTACATTTAAAATAAGAAAACACATTTGCATTGTCTTATTTCAAGTGCATTTTATCTAATTATCTTATTTTAAGAGTAAAAATACTCATTCCATTGGCTAATCCATCTCATTTACCTAATAAAGTTAAGGGTAAATACTTTTAATTTAAGAAATTTTTACTTCTCTCTAGGTCGTTTTTCCAGTGTGGTTTATTATTTTTTTTGGAATGACTGAGAATCTTCACCAGCAGATTCTAGTTTAGTTTTTCTTTTTGCCTTGTTTGCAATTCAATCTGAAAAACTGACACAGATAAGAAGAAATTTATTGATACAATTACTTTAGTCTTTGGCGCTCAGACCTCGGCAGGAAACATAGAAATAAGACCAGGGCTGTTTCCCCCCCAGGCCTGAAACTGGTGGTGGAGTGGAGATAGATGGAGTTGGTCAGTCTATAGACTGCTGGTTGGTGAGACGGTCTGCTGGGCTTTAAGCGGAGATCCAGTGGACTGCGTGAGCTGATACTAGAGCTTCACTGTAAGATGGAAGTCCAGTTTGGATAACACAGGTTGAGAGAACCTGTCCATGATGAGCAAGCATGGAGCGACAGTGGAGAGGAATAACTCCCCATTGGGAAGAAACCTCTGGTAGAACCAGGCTCAACATGGCCGTCTTCTAAGGTTTGAGATGAGACGGGGAACGCAGTAAGAGTCCGGGAGAAATTAAACTGATGAAATTTTAGCTACGATGTTGGAGGAGGCGCTGGAGGTGGGGTGAAACGGGTCACCTGAATGACGTCACACAGCGCAACCACTGCCTGCGCACTATGTAGCAGACGAGTTGAGGATCGGAGGCCTTTTAAAATGAACTTTGGATGCTGATTGGCTTTCATGGAGGCGTGGTTGAAAGCTGATTGGCTGTGTCGTAGGCAGATGAAGGCGAGTAATTAGTTTATTCAGTTAAACGAGGCCCAACAAATACAAATAATGTAATAATACCAATACAGAAGTGTTGCTGCTTTTTAATCTGTAGAAAAGCATCAAAAATTATTTTCAGCTTTGACCATAAGTGATCATATCAACTTTTGTCTTCTTTATGTGTCTCGTTCATAATAAAACAAATGGGTCTCCTGGGCTTACAGCTTCTTTGATTAAAATTGTTTGAGTTCTATTTTTTTTCTTCTTCTTTAAATGAAGTTTTTGTGTTTATGTTTTGCAGGGAGGAGGTTCAGCAGAACTGTGTTCGATGGGGGAAGAAGTTCTCCTTCGTGTGTAAAATGAGTGCCAATCCCATTACAGGAGTGTTGGACCCCTGCATCTGCAGAGTCTCTGTACGCAAGGTGAGCAGCAGCACGGCTTTCTATCCAGAGAAGCAAATCATCACTTCTGCAGAAAGAAGCAACATAAAGGAGCCTTTTTTTAAAATGCATGTTAGAGTCAGCAAACTAATGAGGGAATTAGTTTATAAACATAGACATTGATTAAAGGAGGTTTTAGTTCTTCATGTCAGGTAAGGATAGTCCGCAGTAATTACGCCTGCAAAAAACAACAGAATGGATATTTCCCAGTAGCATCAATGGAAAGAAAGGAGGGTGATTAATTATATTTATTAGAAATAAAGTAAATTAGTAACTCAGGAAACATGTTGGAGAAAACTGCTCATAGTTTTACTAAACGCTTAAAGAAGAGGCTGCATCTGGAGGACCAGGAAAGTCATTAAAAAAGATATATAACTATTTCAAATTTAATATTTAAAGTGTAGATTTAGAATTTTTGTTTGAAAGGCGTTTGGTAGTTGCACATTTTGAAAGAAATTATTTATCAGGAATAGTAAACTGTGGTTATCAATCAATCATTAAATATTGCAACTCGAAAATGTTTTTCCAAATCCTGTTTTTAAACGGAGATTTAAAAAAACACAGTTCATGCATCTGATTATAAATACCTTTCTACGGAAGAGGATTAGGGCCACTGAAAAAAAAAAAAGAAAGTTAACTGATTTTTAAATTTTATTTCAGTGTAGTATGGGAAAAAAGTCAGAATTCTGACTTTTTTCTTAGAATTCTGACTTTAATCTCAGAATTCTGACTTTTTTCTCAGAAATCTGACTTTAATCTCAGAATTGTGGATCTTAATGTAGATGGGCACCATGAAGGAAGAGATGTTGGAGCACTCAGCTTCACTGACAAAAATGTGAGTTGTTTGAGGTGGCCAGTGACACATTGGTGGAAAATGACGGAATTAGGCGACTTTTTACGTGCCCGAGGGGTCCCCTCATTAATGGAGGAGAAGAAGGTCATTAAAACAAGAGAGCTAGTCTCTAAAACAGACATGGCTATGGCTTGATGCTAACATGTTTGTTAGCTGTTAAAATTCTGAGAATAAAGTCAGAATTCTGAAATTAAAGTCAGAATTATAAGATTAAAGTCAGAATTATAAGATTAAAGTCAGAATTATAAGATTAAAGTCAGAATTCTGAGATCAAAGTCAGAATTATAAGAT